GCTCCTCCATGCTGTGGCTTATCAACATTCCGGCTGAGAGAGAAAAAGCCGTCGCTGTTGATTTTCAAAGAACCAGTAACAGACAAGTTAAGAGTTCCTTGGAGAGAGAGAATAAAATATTCTGCAGTCCTACTGTAAGTTATCTTTAAATGGCTTTCATACCTAAGGGGGAAGCACTATTTTTCACCTGTGGGGAGATAAATAGCACACACAGTAATGACATTCATTGGATGTCCCCATTCTACAAGCCACCCCTATGCTTCATTGGAGTGAGCAGTTGGGTGCCCCAAACTAGACCCAGGCTCATAACATCACCTAGGTGGGCTTAACTTAGCCAATGGGGCCGGCCAACCATTGTATAACTGGGTCTGGGAGGTAGCTAGCTTAGGGAGGGGGGTGTCCCTCCCATAGAGGGACAAAGGGCCCCAAAGAGAAGGTTAGAAAGACAGCAGGCAACCATTAGACACCTATGAAGACCCCAAACTGAGCATGCGCATACTCAAGCCCCTGAGCCAGGTGGGAGGTACATTGGGTGCCCCAAACTAGACTCAGGCTCATAACATCATCCAGGTGGGCTTTAACTTAGCCAATGGGGCCAATCAATACCATCAAACATGCCTCCCCAGCCAGAGGCTTGAAATATCCTGACTGTGGGAAGGCCACTCTCTCTTACCCTGCTCCTGGTCAGAGGCAGGTGGAAAGGGGGTCTCCCTCCCCAATACGGGCACACGTGTGCCCGCTCTGGGCCTACTTGGGGCCCACAGCCTCTGGGCCCATATGCTCCTTACCTCTTGGGTTCTTGGACTTCTGACCCCCCAGGATCCCCACATCCTGAGTTCCACATGCGTGGGTGCCCAGTTGTGAACCGTTTCAGACTGTAACACCTGAAACTTGTCTTGTCCTTCATAGAAACCCACTTGGATCACACAATGTGCTTTCAGCACGAATTCTTTCCCACTCCAGAAACCTAACAGGTCTCCATCGAAACGTGTTATGTCACATGCTAACTTCATTTCCTTGTTGGAAAGGAAGACCATTGCTATCGCGAGAGCTTGAGAAAGCTGAGCAGTGTCCGATCGAATCCACTGCACACGTCACAGCTTCCTGAGTCCCCCTGCAAGAGCCCCGGAGCTCATCTTCCTCCGCCCCAGGTCATCGGAGAGGAAGCTTGTCCCGGCACACCAGGGAACAGCAGCAGGGGCAGTCACAACCTGCCTGCAGAGGCACTTTCTTTAATATGTTTGGTGCACAGAGTCAGCTCACGTGGGAAAGCAGTAAGAAAGGTTCCTCTTTTGCTGAAGCAAAGTGCCTCCAGCTATTCCAGACCCATTCTTTCCAGTGCCCCGTCAGCAGAGAGTGAGAAGTAAAGGACCCCCAGACTCCCAAGAGCTTATGAGTCTTGGATGCATGTAAGCCGTTTTGGTCAGATTGGAAACAAGAGAGAGTATACTAGTCATCCGTTTCTCAGGGTCACCATGCTACTGGGACAGGCTCACAATGGGTGGGTGGCGGTGGTGGTAGCATATCTACCCTGGTCTTATGCATCCTGTTTCTGGAAATGGATGTAATGCAGCATTCAAATCGTACCAAGGAGATCGCCAAACCATCATTTGGTAAAAGGCCCTCAATTCAAGA